AAATTAGGTCTTAATTATTGTTAAAATACCAATTGTTGAATTTCATGTTTAATAAGTATTCATCATAATTGAAATTAAAAATGAAGACTAGGCAGGAATTACCTGAACAGAAATCAGAGATTTCCTGAGGCAAATACCTATAATAAAGACACTGCCTTGAAATAATCTTTATATTAAGAAGCTTTTTTTTATTATTCTTTGTGGGTTTTGTCCAAAATTAGTTTATTATGGATCAAATAAGCTTTTTAGACCACTTCTCATGATGACCCTTTGGATTACGTAAATAGCTCCATTATACTCTGATTTGGGGACTTTATTTTAACAATACATATTTTATTGTGTTTTTAGAAGGACTCTAAGCGTGGCCATTCAGACTTCCTTGCAAGCATTTCTTTCTAAATCATTGAGACAGTTTATTTTCTTCACAGTCTTGTCTCCTTGGGGCTTTTGTCTCCATGTCTGTCAGTCCTGGCTCTGAATTCTGGAATGTATTATCTGAGATCCTTTACCATTTACTTGTACTTTTCCTTTTCTGTGTGAGGTTGTTTTTGTTTTGGTTTTTGTTTTGTTTTTTTTTATCATTAAAGTCTAATATATAGTGTTCTAAGTATCTTTTCAAGGTCCAATCTTAATATTGATTCTTAACTGTCTTTATTCCTTATATTCATACGTTTTCTAGTGGAAAATTTTCCTGTAAATTAAGAACAAAAATATATTTGCCTATCAAGCCCTATTGGATTCTCCCCTGCTTTAAAAGAACTCTGTCTCTACTTTTACATTAGAATAAAGATACTTCTAATTCCTTGTAAAAAGAGACAGCAAAATCGTGTAATACTTTGCAGATTTTTAGAAACCAAGGAGTTGTGAAGGTGGCTTTATTCTTAATTGGTAGAGTGAACTCATTTTAACAGTAGCATACTTTTTACGGGGTCTTTTTTTACTGAAAGCTAATACTAGTATTACCTTTTTTTTCATTTTAATTGTAAGATAATACTAGCATATTAATTAACTCTGTTTAAAGAAGTTGTGTGTTAAATATTTGCTTATTGTGTATGAAAGAAGAAAAATGGAAATTAGATTAGTTTCAAAATGTGTCTACAGATGACAGGTGAACTTTGGAAGTAATAAACAATTTTACATATTTGGCTCCATTGCTCATTTTCCATTATTTGCATGCATACGTGGGAGAGAGCAGCTTAGAAGACAATAGATTCTTATAGACAGTCTTAACATTTTCTTTACCCTGCTTTTGTTTCTGTGTGCCAAAATAAGCACTTGAAATTACATAGCCCATCACAAAGTGTTATGATTGAGGTGCAAAAGTTGTCTCTGCAGAGTATTAAGTCAGTGACATTTATTGGACAAGAAATGATAAAGATTCTAAATGATCGAAAGATTTAAAAAATAAAGTCTAATTTTTTTCTCTTTAAGTTCTTTTTTTATATTGTGTATTTGGCATATATAAATTATTGAACATAATGCAGTTACCTAAATTGTCAGAATTCTTCTCTTTATTTCCTTGAGCCCCTTTCCCTAAATTAATAAACCTTAAACTGATAATCCATCTTTATCTCACCTAATGCACATTCCTTCTAATTTATTTTTAAGGAGATATAACAAGAACAAGTAAACTGTACTGTGTGCTATTACTTGCCTTATAGTTCTTAATGGGTTTGGATTGTTTTACAGTCTAGTTTTCAAAATTTCCTTGTACAGTGATTGTTGTTCTTACATATAGACTAATATAGTTTCTGTTTATTAATGTGAGAAGTATGCATACGCTAATTTTGAAACATTTAAAGTATCTTCCTTTCTCCTTATTCCACACACTTTTAAGAAAAAAACAAACAGTGACTTAACTTGGCTACTATAGAAGTTGAATCTAGAATAGAAATAAAGTACCTTAGTATTTTTGCCATCCATGTATTTATCCAAATCTTGACCAAATATGGTTTCTTCAAAATTATCTGTTCCGTAATCATAGGTCATTTGCAAGTCCTGCCGAATTGGTGGTGCTGGCATTATCTGTGGCGCAGACAGCAACAAAAGAAGTATAGACTGCAGAATCTTCATTTTAGCAAGAATCGAGGTGACTGGAAGTTAATAACTAATGACTTGCACAATGGAACACTAGTCTCCTTTTCCCTGGAAATAGAAATGCAGACCATCGAAACAATATTTGAAACTTACAGGGCTTTTTGGCAGTGTTTTAGCATTAGGGGCCAGAGACAAAGTATTTAACCCTTAGTGATCTTTAATTAGACAATATCATTCTTATATATTATTGAATATTCCGAAAAATAATTTCACGATATAGGTATATTTCTTTCCTATCAAAATTGTCAACCAGTGTTCATAATCTTAATCTCTTCATAACTAGCTACTTTGAACAGGAATCCTCTCAGGCAACCTATAATATAAATAGTTAAAACCAAGACTTAAGAACCTTCTCTTGTGAGTTAGATATCGTATTTCAACTTTGCTGCTTCTTAAGAACTCCTGATTTGCATTTGTATAAAGAGAAACAAGTTATATGAAAATGTTAAAAGAAACTTTAACATAGTGAAAAATTGTAACATACTTTTAAGTTGTAAAGAACAAAGGAAAACCCATGTCTTAAATTTAAAAATTTTAATAGATTGCAGTATATTACTTTTAGTTAAGATACTATTTTAAGATTTGTTATTTTAGAAAATGTGAAAAGCAATATTATAAACTATAGGAAATAAAACTTTAATCAAAGGACTTAGAGTAATGTAATGTAATAGAAAGGATTTTTTTTTCATATTATCTATAGATTTTACGTGGTAGATAGATACACATGCCATACTTTTTCTTGAGTGACTTCAAACACAATTACTCTGAGTTGCTTACATGATATTTTAAATATTAATTTGTAAAAATTCTAGTGGTTAATATTTAGAATAAAATGATTTATTCTCTTCATAGATCTTAAGCTACCTAAAAGTATTTTAAGTATTTTTTATACAAATGTATTTTCATAGAGGTTCAAGGTAACTTACAAATCTGAAGAGATTTTATATTTACTAAGACTGTTAGATGAGCTACACTTTAACGAACAGTATTTAAAATAATTTATGGATAAAGAACCTACCGTAGTCACTGTTTTGAAGCTTTTTTGTGGTTTTTCTCAATAGATGTTCATGCCTGTGCATTAGCCCTGAGTGGGAGGGTAAATGAGGAAAACTGCTGAGTAAAATGTGAGGGCCCAGCAGCTTTACAAGTTGTTCCATGTGGAAGAGATCAGCATTTTTCTCTAGGGTGTAGTGTGTTATTTGTAACTCTTGTATTTATTGTTTGCTTCTTCTTATTCACTGAATTTTCCCTTTATATTACCTTGTGTAAGAAACCCGAATGCTTTAGTGGATATTAGTTTATGAAGAGGATGTAGTTATAAAACTGCTTTTCATTTCTTTGCTTTTCTTGACTATAAAATGTATGTTCTGAATAAAATAGAACACCAAACCAAAGCACAGTTTAAGCGCCTGATTCTATGAGGAGTAAAAAGACTGTCTCCATATACTTTGTGTGCAAGAATTTTCCTAGGTAAAAACTGCTTGCACCTTGACTTTATAGTTTGATATTTAGAAGTTTCCATCTTATAGCTTATAGTTAAATATAACAAAACCCTAAGTAAGAGAACTGATTATTTTTAAAAGAAAATTTAATTTTGAATTTGATAGAAGATATTTTGTTTGCTAAATGAAGGGAATTATATAAAAATGATTTCATATTAAATTTATTTCCATGAGTTAAAGTGGTATTTAAAAATTTTATAAGGATCTTTAAGGTTTTACTTTAATTTTAAAACATTTTTTCTTTTATAAGCCAAAATTTAACAAATGTGGATAAATGATATATTGTTGTTGTTGTTATGTGCCGTCGAGTCGCCTGCGACTCATAGTGACCCTATGTACAACAGCCCTAAACTCTGCTCTGTCCTGTGCCA